ACCCCCGACCGCCGCCGTCACTCCTGGTCGCAGCACCCTCTCAGCGGCTTCCCAGAGCCTGCTTCCGGGATGAGGTCCCGCTGGGTGTCCGCCCATCCTGGGGTTGCAGGGCTGGGCCAGAGGGGCTCTGCAGTAACTCAGGGAGGCTGCAGCCACTCGCCCACTTTACGGATCGGAAGACTGCTAAGCAGCTGCAAGGAGGCCCAGGCCGAGGGCGCTTGGCTGTCCTGCCTAAAGGAAGTGCCCAGGAGGAGACAGGCGGTACCAGGCAGGCCCTAACACCTGCCACCCCTCCCTGAGCACCACGGGCCACACAAGAGCCTGGGCACTTTGGGGCATCAGTCTGCCTTCTGCCGTGGCCAGACTATTTCTGCTCAAGGTCAAGTCAAGGGCAAGGACTTAGGCCTTTCTGTCTGGTAACAAACCTTGCCGCCTTCCCGGTCCCCAGCTTTAGCATGAATGGCCCTCTGTCTCTGGATGTCAGCCATCCCACAGCAAGGGAGACCATTCCCTTCTTGACCCTGAAAAGAAAGGAACCCGTGTTCATCAAGGACCCTCTGGGCACATCCGGCGCTGGGTGGTCTGTGTGCATCGCCTTCCCAGCAGTCCTCCAAGTTAGCGTCAACCTCCCCGTTCAGCGGAAGGAAAAGCCAAGGCTCAGGAAAGTCACCGGCCACCCAAGGCCCTGTGCTCAGGCGGAGGGGGAGCCTGGCCCAGAAGACCTGGACAGAGCCTGAGCTTGGAACCAAGGGTCTGGCTCTGCAGTGCCTGAGCTGTGGCCTCCTGCCCCCACCCTCACCCCTGCCGGGTGGACTGTGGCCTTGCACTCAGGGTCCCCGCTGACCTCTGCCTCCTGTCCTTCTGCTTCCACAGGGAAACAACGCAGAAGAGCCGAAGGGCGTCACCAGTGAAGGTAGTGGTTCCCCGGCCCGCCCGCCACCCCCTTCCCCGGGCTCTGGCCTCCAGGCACACCCACCTCTCTCCTTCCTCTAGAATTCGACAAGTTCCTGGAAGAACGGGCCAAAGCCGCCGACCGGTTGCCCAGCCTCTCCAGCCCCTCAGCCGAGGGGGCCCCGGGCCCCCCTCCTGGCCCAGCCCCTCGGAAGAAGGCCCAGGAGAAAGACGAGGACATGCTGTTTGCCTTATGAGTGCCCGTCTGGCACGCTGCAGCCCAGGGCCCTGCTGCCCCCCGCCCGCCCCGGGCTGGGCCTCTCCCTCCTTTGGTGTTAAGGCTGCTTTGGGGGCGGCTGGTGGCCCCTTCTCTCCTGGAGGACGGAGTGGGCCCAGCCATGGGTGGGGGTGGGGAGGCCCCAGGCTGAATGGGGCCAGGCCAGCGCTGCAGCGCGCCCCCAGCCGCTCCTGCCTCCGTCCCCAGCCAACCGCTGCGACTCTGCGGAGAAGCGGGGACCCCAGGACAGATGGGCTGGCCACCTGCTTGACCCTGTGTGACACTCCTCACCCTGGGTGATGCCCTGCCTGGACCTGTGCCCCGAGGACCGCTCCAGAGCCCACACCGCCTGTCGAGGCCTGGCTGGAGGCTGGTCGCAGCAGAAGCTCTCCCGAGCTCTCGCCCATTGCCACCTGCCCCAGGCCCGATGCTTCAGCCAGCCCTCAGGCAGAGGGTGGGGGGCCCCGGGCCCCTGCTGACCTGACGCTGCCCAGGTACTAAGCTGCACATGGTGGGTGAGACCTCGCCAGCCCAGGCTGCACCACAAGGCTTCACGAGATGCCTGGGGCGCCCCGCCTGCTCCATTGCCTTGTCCTCTGTCCTTCTGTTCCACCTGGCAGGGCCCTCAAGTGGGCTGACCCTCTTTCTGGGAGAGGTGGCTTTTGTATCCCCAATTAAAGGTAGAAAGCCACCCTGCTGGCAGCCTTGTCCAGTCTCCTGGTGGGCAGTGGCTTCTTGGACTCCCAGGAGCAGGGACAACTTTGGGTGGGGCTGGGGACCCCTGAGGGTGGGTATCTGCCAGGAGGCCGCATCACCGTGCCCCGAGGCCAGCCCCTGCCCTGCACAGGGGCACGTTATCCCCAAGGCGGGAGCCAGGGTGGACAGCCTGCGTGTTGGTCGACGGGCCGCAGGCGGGCTGGACGTTCCTCGGGGGGCCCCCAGGCACGACCCTGGGCTGCATGCCACTCATGGGAGTGTCATGACCCTGAGGAAGCCTAGTGACGTCCTCGATGTACACATGCCGAGAGTGTGTTTCGGGTCACGTGAGTTGCCCCGGCTCAGAGGAGGAGGCACAGATGCAGCCTGTCGTGTGCGGGGCACTTCCTGGTGCGTGAGCGCGTTGTCCCCATTTTTCAGATGAACATGCATATGCAGTTGGGACAGCGGGGCGTGGGCAGGCACGGGCCGGTTCTGACGTCACTCCACGGCACTCGAGAGGCTCGGGTCTTGGGGTGCCACGTTCTTGGCTCTGGAGTCTCCTCGCCAGGTTCTCCATAAGTCCCTGCTGAGGCCTGTGGGGCCGGCTGGCCCAGCCCGTGGGGGTGCCGGTGTGCGGCCGGGGCGCTCCAGTGCACAGGAGCCCGCCGCCCTCTGAGTGGAGCTGGGGCAAGGAGAGCAGCTCAGGTGGGCACGGCAGGACCCCACGGGGGGCAGGGAAGCCTCACGGCCCTCAGGACACCGTGGACCCGGCCCCTCCCCCCCTTCCAGGGCGCCTGAGCCCCTGCCAGTGCCGAGCCCTGGGCTCGCTGTGTCCACACCTCACAAGAGCCCTTTGATAGGGCCACTTACAGGTGGGGAAACTGAGGCTTGGGGAGGCAGGACTTACCCAGTCATACCCTAGTTGTAGAAGAATGGGCCTCCAACTCCTACTCACCCTTGCTCTCCCGCATGCTCAGCCCACACCACTGCTGCTTTCCGCATCCCCCCCATTGAACTGGGACCCCTTAGGGGAACTGTGACACTTCAGGATCAAGGCCAAGGCCTCCCGTGCTCTGTGTCAGCCGGGAAGCCCAAGAAGTTTCCACGGATGGCCCAGGGGCTCAGGGCCCTGCCAAGGGCTAACACTGCCAGGCTACTCCTCCTCCCCCATGGACGTGTCCCTGAGTGCCACCTGCCCGCTTGCAGGGGGCAAGGTGCAGGCCACACAACCACAGGGCCCGCGGGGTCACGTGGGAGAGACGGGACAATGAAGACAGACATGAACTCAGCCATCGTTTCCTGCCTTGAAATGAGCAAAAGCATAACTGGACGCACACCGTTTAGAGGCCGGGCGCCGAGGGCCGCCGAGGGCCGCTCTCTGCGAGGATGGCCCGAGGTTGGAGAGGTCGGATGGGGCCAGGCCCAGAGAGCCCTAAATGCCGGGAAGGGGGGCCCCGCGGAGGGCGCTGGGCTCCAGAAGGGCCCTCCAGAGAGAAGGCTGCTGGACGCGGCGGGCGGGGGCGCCGGTAGGAGGCTCTCTGGCGGCTGTGTGTGGCCTTGCGGGCAAACTGCCTGACCTCTCTGTGCCTCCGTTTGTCACTCACACGGCGGGCCAGTAACAGCCCCTCCGCACAGGGTTGTGAAGGCCGACTCAACCAACAAGTAGCACAGCGCCTGCCACGTAAAAAAGCACCTTGTAGCCGGGCTCGGTGGCTCCGCCCGTCATCCCGCGCCTTTGGGAGGCTGAGGCGAGCGGACTGCCTGCGCCCGCGGGTTCGAGGCCCACCCGGGCAACCCGGCGAGACCTCAGCTCTACGAGAAATCAAAACTGAGCCGGGCGTGGCAGCGCGCGCCCGTAGTTCCGGCTCCTCGGAAGGCTGAGGCGCA